AGCCAATTCCTACCTCCTATTCTTATCACTCCATCCTCTGAAGAGGTTACCTAAATTGTCAATAGAAAATAGGGACACAGACCACTCTGGCTTCTTCCACGCTGAACAGGGACACAGGGGGAGGCAATTGGGGTATCCCTTCAAGTGGGTCTATCTAAAAGACTCCCAAATTGCATAACTCTTATCTGTAAAAATATGGAACGCTTCACAAATTTGTGTGTCATCCTTACCATGCTAAGTAAAGACAAGAGTAATTAGCATTACAAGTTCTAGACAGGGAACTAAAAAAAAAGTCAGAACAGGGCAATTTTCAAATGTTCATATGAAAGTTCATTGGAGTTTCTTGATAAGGTCTTCCGAAAGCATCCCTGTATTGGGTTCTTCCTCATTTTTCTTTTGTCTTCCAAGGCTGGACTACTTGGCTGGGAAGAGTGGCTGGATACTTAGGTGAGGGTCCAGTGATCCTGCTTGGCCCTCCTTTCATGAATGAACACAACATAAATCTTGGGCAAAGATCAGTTGTTCTCAGATAAACCTTACCTAGACATATATTTCTTGATCTTCTATGTATAATTTGTCAGTAGGTTGTTGGACTAATATCGTTCCCTCTGATTTTTTAAACTAGCCAGGCATTATTTATCTCTCACATGGTCTAACCCTCTCACCATGGTTTCCCCATTTAGGATGCCCCCATTTTTCCCATTTCTCCCTTAATAATACCCTTCTCCTATGGTTCCCCCTCTCTTGAGCTCTTTCTTTCCCTTTATCCCCTGGGTTCCTTGTATAACCTTCCCTCCCCTGAAAATAACCCCATTTTTATCCATATCTCCCTTATTAACACCTGTATCCTAATGTTCTCTTTCAGAGTCTTTCTTTTCCTTTACCTCCCTGGTTCCTTTTCATTATCCTGGTTCCTATAGTTATGTCTGGATACATACTGCTATTGTGAAAACAGCAGCAACAAACATGGTTGTACAAGTGTCTCTACAATAGGATGAGTCCTTTGGGTATATGCCAATGAGTGGTATAACTGAGTCATATGGTAGGTTCATTCTTAGTTTTTTAAGAGTTCTCCATACTGTTTTCCATAGAGGTCGCACAAGTTTACAATCCCACCAGCAGTGAATGAGCATCCATCCATTTCTTCAAAATTTCTTTATAGCTGAATAAAATCTCATTGTGTATATGTGCAATGCTTTCATTATGCATTCATCTGATAGATATCTAAGCTGGTTCCATTTCCTTGCTACTGTGACTAGAGCTGCAATAAACATGGATGTGCAGGTATCTCTGTGGTAGGATATGGAGTCTTTTGAATATATGCCCAGGAGTGGTATAACATGAGTCATATATAGTTGTATTTTTTATTTTTAGAGAAACCTCCATATAGATTTCCATAATGGCTACACCAGTTTACACTCCCTCCAGCAATGAATAAGGGTTTTCCCTGCCTCATCCTCACTAGCATTTGTTGTCAGCTTTCTTTTGGAGACCCTGTCTCAAAAAGACCAAAAAAAGAAAAAAAAAGTATATTATTTTCATGGGTATGAGTGTATTGAATGCATCTATGTAAGTGTACCCATGTTGTGCAATGCCTGAAGAGGTCAGAAGAGTGTTGGATCCCATGGAACTGGAGATAGGAATGGTTGTTAACTGCCATGAGGGTGCTGGTAACCAAACCCAGGCCCTCTGAAAGAGAAGCCTGTGGTCTTAACCTCTGAGTCATCTCTCAAGCTCTGTTTTCAGATTTCTTGATGATAGTCATTCTGATTTGGATGAGGTGGTATCTAAAAGTACTTTTAATTTGCATTTCTCTAATATTTAAGGATGTTGAACACTTCTAAAAACATTTAACAGCCATTTGGACTGCCGTCTGTTCATTTAAATAGCCCATTTGTTGATTGGCACTTTGGGGTTTTAATTTTTTTTCCTTCGCAAATTCTAGGAATTAGACATGTCTGAAGTATAGCTGGCAAATATTTTTCTCCCATTTTGTAAGCTGCCTGTTCGCTTTTCTGATAGTTTCCTTTGCTGTGCAGAAACTTTTTACTTTCATTGAATCACATTGTTGATTCTTGGGGCTATTTTCTGTGCTACTATAGTTCTGTTCATAAAGTTCTTGCCTATACCTATATCTTGAAGGGAAATTCCTATTATTTTCCGTAGCAGTTTCAACATATCAGATTTTAGATTAAGGTCTTTGACTCACTTTGAATTGATTTTTATACAGGGTGAAAGATATACATCAAATTTCAATTTTCTGTGGATAGATATTCAGGTTTTCCAGCACTACTTGTTGAACAAGCTATCTTTTTTCCACTTTGTGTTTTTAACCTTTTAGCTTTGCTGGTTTATTTCTGGATCATCTGTTCTTTCCATTGATCTGTCTGTTTTTTTCCAATACCATGCTGTCTTTGTCCCTATGGCTCTGTAGTATCACTAAGTGTCACGTGTTGTGTTGCCTCCATCACTGTTCTTTTTCCTTAGGATTGCTTTTACTATTTTTCATCTTCTGTGATTCCATATGAATTCTTGGATTGTTCTTTATTGTTCTGTGAGAATGACATTAGAATTTTGGTGAGAATTGTATCAAATATGTAGATTTCTTTGGGTAATATAGTCATTTCGTAATATTATTTTTGTCAGTTCAGGAGTGTGCAATGTCTTTCCATCATCTAGTATCTTCTTTGTTTCCTTTTTTCCAATTTCTTAAAGTTTTCATTGTCAAGGTCTTTCACTTCCTTGGCTAGGTTTATTTTTAATTCTTTTTTTTTCAGCTGTTGTGAAATAATGCCTAGAATTTATAGGGATATTTTTCCTGATTTCTTTCTCTTTCTCTGTGAGTTCATTGTTGGTATGTATGAGGACTACTGACTATTTTATGTTGATTTTACATTCTGAAACTTCACTGAAAGTACTTATTAGATGTAAATGTTTCCATAGAATCTATAGGTCTTTTAAGTATAGAATCATGTCATATGCAAATAGGGATGGTTTGACCACTTCCTTTCTTATTTTTATCCTTTTTGAAAAATATCTTTCTCTTATTCCAGTTTAGATTTATAGCACTACACTTAATAAGAGAGACAACAGTGATCTTCCTTGTCTTGTTCTCAGTCTTAGAGGAAATGCTCTCAGATTTTGCAAGTTCAGTGTAATGTTGGTCATAGGTTTATTATATATGGCCTTTAATATTTTAAGATATGTTCCATCTATTCCTAATGTCTTCAGGACCATTATCACAAAGGCATATTTAATTGTGTCAGATGTCTTTTCTGCATTTATCAAGATTATCATGTGATTCCTGTACTTATAATGAGTTGCATTTATTAATTTGTAAATGTTGAACCAATCTCACATCTCCTAGAAGCCTACTTGCTCATGATGTATGATCTTCTCAATGTGTTCTTGAATTCAGCTTGCAAGTATTTTATTGAGAATTTTTGTACCTATGTTCATTGAGAAAATTGGTCTGTAATTTTATTTCTATTGCTCTGTCTTTATCTGGTTCTGATATTTATAGATAAGATTTTACAGTATTCCTTCCCTTTCTATTTTGGGGAATCATTTAAGAAGTGTTGATATTAGATCTTTCTTGAAAGTTTAATAGAATTCAGCAGCAATCAGTTTGGTCCTTTTCTTTGAGGAAAGAGTTTTGAATACAGCTATTTTCTTTTTTGAACTTAATTTCTGTGTCTTTCAAAAATTCTGTA